ACCTTCTCCACTGTCATATTCTCCTGATACTTGACACGGAATTTCATCTAGCTATGTCCTTTGTTTCACGAGATATTTCAGTTTCAAAATTAGTCGAAGAATTCCTGTATTAGGAGGACTATTCATCGGTGGACGACGTCGTATCACCTTCTATAGTGTCATATTCTCCTGATACAAGACACGAAATTTAAGCTAGCTACGACCTTTTTTTTAGTAGATATTTGAGATTCATTATTAATCGAAGAACCACTGTATCAGGAGAACCATTCATTAGTGGACGACGTCGTGCCACCTGCTCCAGTGTCATATTCTCCTGATACAAGACACAAAATTTCAGTTTGCTATGCGCTTTCTTTCACGAGATATTTCAGTTTCAAAATTAGTCGAGGAACTGCTGTATTAGGAGAACCATTCATCGGTCGACGACGTCGTGCCGCCTTCTCCAGCGTCATATTTTCCTGATACAAAACATGAAATTTCAACTAGATATCTCCTTTCTTTCACGAGAAACTTCAGTTTCAAAATTTATAGAAGAATATCTGTATCAAGAGAACCATTCATCGGTGGACGACGTCGTGCCACCTACTTGAGTGTCATGATCTCCTGATGCAGGACACGAGATTTCAGATAGCTACGACCTTTCTTTCACTAGATATTTGAGTTTCAAAATTAACCGATGAACCTCTGTATCAGGAGAACCATTTATTGGTGGACGGCGTCGTGCCACCTTCTCCAGTGTCGTATTCTCCCGATACGAGACACGGAATTTCATCTAGCTACGTCCTTTCTTTTCGGAGATATTACAGTTTCAAAATTAGTCGACGAACTCCCGTGTTTTAGGAGAACCATTTATCGGTGGACGACGTCGTGCCACCTTCTCCAGTGTCATATACTCCTGATACAAGACACGAAATTTGAGCCAGCTATGCCCTTTCATTCACGAGATATTTCTGTTTCAAAATTTTTTGAAAAATCTCCGTATCAGGAGCGCTGTTCATCGGCGGACGACGTCGTGCCTCCTTCTCCAGTGTCATGTTGTCCTGATGTTTCGTGCTTTGTATCAGGAGGACATGACATTCGAGAATGTGGCATGGTGTCAGCCACCGATGAATGGTTCTCCTGATACAGAGGTTACTCTACAAATTTTGAGACTGAAATATCTTGCAAAAGAAAGGGCATAGCTGGCTGGAACTTCGTGTCTTGTATCAGGAGAACATGACACTGGAGAAGGTGGCACGACGTCGCCCACCGATGAACGGTTCTCCTGATGCACAGATTTCCCGAAAAATTTTGAAACTTAAGTATCTCGTTAATGGGAGGGAATAGGTAACTGAAATTTCGTGCTTTGTGTCAGGAGAACATGACATTCGAGATGGTGGCACGACGTCACCCGCCGATAAACGGCTCTCCTGATACAGAGATTTTGCAAAAAATTTGAAACTGAATTATCTCGTGAAAGAAAGGGTATAGCTGGCTGAAATTTCGTGTTTTGTATTAGGAGAATATGGCACTGGAGAAGGTGGCACGACGTCGTCCACCGATGAATGGTTCTCCTGATACAGGGGTTCATCGACTAATTTTGAAACAGAAATATCTCGTGAAACAAAGTTCGTAGCAAGCTGAAATTTTGTATTGTATCAGGAGAACATGACACTCGAGAAAGTGGCATGACGTCGCCCACCGTTGAACGGTTCTCCTGATGCAGAGATTTCGCGCAATGTTTTGAAACTTAAATATCTCGTGAGGGGAAGGGAATAGGTAGCTCAAATTTCGTTCTTTGTGTCAGGAGAACATGATACTCGAGAAGGTGCCACGACGTCACCCGCCGATGCACGGCTCCCCTGATACAGAGATATCTAGAAAAATTTTGAAACTGATTTATATCGTGGATGAAAGGGCATATCTAGCTGAAATTTCGTGTTTTGTATTAGGAGAATATGACACTGGAGAAGGTGGCACGACGTCGTCCCCCGATGGATGGTTTTCCTGATACAGAGGTTCTTCTACTAATGTTGAAACTGAAATATCTCATGAAGAGAAGGTGTAACTAGCTGAAATTTCGTGTTTTGTATCAGGAGGATATGACGCTCGAGAAGGTGGCACGACGTCGCCCGCCGATGAACCGCTCTCCTGATACAGAGGTTCTTCTGCTAATTTTGAAACTGAAATATCTCGTGAAAGAAATGTTGTAGCTAGCTGAAATTTCGTGTCTTGTATCCGGCGAACATGGCACTCGAGATGGTGGCACGACGTCGTCCACCGACAAATGGTTCTCCTGATACGGATATTTTACGAAAATTGTTGAAACTGAAATAGCTCGTGAGAGAAAGGGCATAGCTACCTGAAATTTCGTGTTCTGTATCAGGAGAATATGACACTGGATGAGGTGGCACGACGTCGTCCACAGATGTATGGTTCTCCTGATACAGAGGTTCATCGACTAATTTTGAAACTGAAATATCTCGTGAAAGAAAGGCTATAGCTATCTGAAATTTCGCGTTTTGTATTAGGAGAATATGACACTGGAGAAGGTGGCACGACGTCGTCCGCCGATGAATGGTTCTCCTGATACAGAGGTTCTTCTTCGAATGCTGAAACTGAAACATCTCGTGAAAGAAAGGGTATAGCTATCTGACATTTCGTGTCCTGTATCAGGAGAATATGACACTGGAGAAGGTGTCACGACGTCGTCCACCGATGAATGATTCTCCTGATACAGAGGTTCTTCTACTAATGTTGAAACTGAAATATCTCGTGAAAGAGAGGGCATATCTAGCTGAAATTTCGTGTTTTGTATTAGGAGAATATGACGCTGGAGAAGGTTCATCGTCCACATATAAATGGCTCTCCTTATACACAGGTGCTTCGACTAATTTTGAAACTGTAATATCTCCGAAAGAATGGACATAGCTAGATGAAATTCCGTGTCTTGTATCCGGAGAGTATGACACTGGAGATGGTGGCACGACGTCGCCCACCGATTAACGGTTCTCCTGTTACAGAGATTTTTCGAAAAATATTCGAAATTGGATTATCTCGTACACGAGAATGCATTGCTAGCTGAAGGTTCGTATTGTGTATGAGGAGCCACCTCTTTGAATGTCATGTTCTCCTGATACACGATACGAATTTTCAGTCTTCTATTCCTTCTCGTTCACGAGATTTTGCAACTTTTGGGAATTTTTCGCATAACTTTTGTATCAGGCGAACGGCGCAATCTGGGCTATGTCTTGCCTCCCATCCTTTTGTATGTGCTGCTGATAATTCGAAAATTCGAAATGTCAGCGAATAATCGCTTCTGGTTTCTGACATATTTGCGCTTGATATTGTTTCGTAAAACTTCTGTGGCTGTTTTTGTCTTTTTCCCCTGGGCCTGGTTCCCTGTGCAACGCTTTCTTTCCTTCGCTGTCTTTGACTCCTCTTGCTTGTCCCTTCTTCACAGTTCCTGTTGTACCTATCTAGGAAATGTCGATGTGTTTTTATCATTGATGTTTTGAAAGATATTCGAATTGATTAAGTAAAACAAATGCAAAAAATTGCAGGATATTTCGTGGATTATTTGGATTTGCCTTTTCTTCGTTTGCTGTGTATTAATACGAATATCTCGAAATGCTCTATTTATATTTTCGTTTACATGTTATTAAATATGGAGAAGTTTTCATTAAATCTTTATTAAATGCAAAAGATTTGTATTAAATAGTAGAAATAGTTTTGTTATTGTCTGAATGTTGATAGGCAGTGTATTTCTATTAAAGTTTCAAACTATGGTGGACTCTCTATTTTTGACTAACGAATTATGGGTTTTTTTTTTATAATATGTCGTAACCAATGCACTGCATAATTATACTAAAATTGTAGTCAATATGAAATAGATTTGTATATATAATATGGGAATAGAGGAAATATAATAATTTGAATGTTTTAATGTTAATAATAATTTAAAATAGTTGATAATTTGGTAATAAGTTTTTAAGAATGTTTAATAAAGTGTAAGTCATTTATACCTTAAACCATATATTAATAATTTAAGATTTTTATTTTACTACATATTTAAGAGACGCGGTATATCCGTAAAACATGGATAAATCTCTTTCTGACTTATATATAGTAAAATGATTTCGTTTAGTTACTTGCTTCACGTTTCGTTGTTGAAAGTTTTATAACATTGTAATGGGTTTCCATAATCATATTCCTGGCTCATTCGGTACGTGACCTACCTCAATCGTTTTACTTGCTGTAATTCCCCGTTCATTTAACATAGAGTGCGCTAACCAGTGATTTTTTTTTTTTTTTTTTTTGCTATGTAGATATTTCAGATCCTCGGCTAGGAAACCACTAATAGTGCTAGTTCTATTCATATACGTCGCCGGTGATAATAGTAAATATCCGTATTACCGATTTGTAATAATACAGACCTAATTACTTTCCTTTTATAATGCAACAAAATTATTAGAAAAAATCGTGATAGAAATTATACACTAACTTTGTGATGCTGTGAAATATATTACACATGTATTGTATTATAAATATAAAATCATTAATACTTTTAAGGGAAACTACCCATTACTACTTTTTAAGTGAAACTTGTAAGGAATTGAAAAAGGGAGATTTAATTTTTTAATTTGTTGAAAACTCTTTCGAGTTATTAATTTTATAATTTTCAATTATTAATTTAAATTACAACACTGACAATTATAATTCTCATGTTCGTTTAATAAATTGTACAGAGCGTAAGAAACACTGTGCTTTTTTGAAATCGGTATATCAGAACATATGACATAACGAAATTTCATAAAATGTAACGTCTACGTTGTATTTCGTTTGTGGTTGTATTTTTATTGAATACATTTAATAGTATCATTAGTCATTCTTATAAATTAAATATATTATCAACTTTTCTCTAAATGTTGAATTGTATTATTTTTCCTCTATCAAATCATAGTCATCCTCCAAATAATCATCGAATTTTTCGTCGTCGCTTTTCTTACGTCTCTTAGACTCTCCAGAAGTCGCTCTTCTTCCTCGCTTTTCTCTATGAGATTATCCTTAGACATCCTTAAACTCTTTTCCCTCAAGTGATCCTCGTTGTCTAAACAAAGAATACAAGCTTATGTCATTATGTACTGTCATTCGCTGACTATGGAGTGAAACGTGCATGAAATATATACGAATGTATGCATCGTTGTATTCAGATGCAAAAGAATTTTCACAGGACGCTGCGACAGCACCATGAAAGGTGTGAATTGTTCTATCCTCACATTCCTCCTCTTCTTCGTCTTCTCCTCCTTAGCTTAGATTTTCCTTAGTTTCTTCTTCTCGTTATCGTCCAATTCCTTCTCCTCCTAAATTGCAATTAATAACTGTTGCGAGAATTGGACATTTATTTATATCGTACATTTTACATGTACGATTGATTACTTTTTTACCTTGTGCTATTACGTACGATCGACCAAGTGTACAGGAGCTTGAATGATAGATAGAAGATTCAGTAAGTGCGGCGATTCGTCGCAAGTTACAAAAGATAAATGAAGGAGGCATAGATTTATAAGTTAAATTATAATATTCAAAAGCTGATTTTTAATATTTCTGTGTTTGCACTACAATTGTTTAATCAACAATCTAACTTGAATGAAGAAAGAACAAAAGATAAGCCTCAATAGACAGATGTGGTTGCAAATAAAATGTTTGAGACGTTTCTAGTTTCAAAACTGGCACTGAATGATTAATGTAATACAAATGCATGTAAATCAATTCCCACGTCATCACGGTGTTCATACTTATAAATAAGCGTGTGATAAATGATACATGTAGTTTAAACGGGCTCAAAACTACTGAAATTACGCATATATGTATATATATATACAGGGTGTTCCGTAACTTGTGGGACCCACTTCGGGAGCTGATTGTACGCCTAAAAATAATGAAAAAAAGTCATGTAAATATATGTCCTATCTCTTTGTTTATGATATATAATGAATTTTCTGTTTTAATTACTTTTACAAAAGATGCTCGAAATGACCACCTTGCATTTGAAGACAAGCCTGCACTTGTCTTCATCTGGTTACTCTCTCTATCATTCCTGCTGTTTCCCGAATTGGTCGGAAGCCTTGTTCTATTCTATTTCGTAGTATTTCAGCGTGTTAAATCGATGTTGCGTGTACAATAGATTTTAAATGTCCCGACAAATGTAAATCTAATGGATTCAAATCCGGAGAACGAGCAGGCCATGCAATAGGACCTCCACGACCAATCCATTTATTTGCAAAGAGTTGATTTAAAAATTTCCTAGCCACTCGGCTAAAATGCGGCGGAGCTCCATCATGCATAAACCGCATACCGCATTTTAAATCATGTGCTTACCTTTAAATTGAGATTTGTTGACACAGATATGACTGCAGGAAGTATACGATACAGCAAACAAATATTCTGACTTGACTGACTTTTCCATCGACTCGCAGCTGCAGTGTAAAAGAATTGTATTCGATACATAGTGAAATATGCTCTTGACAAGTCATATATACACCTTTCAGCATCCCGCTTATCGTGTACTATTTTATAACGGCACATCAAGCAATTATCGTTGCTAGGAAAGCCCTCAGCTTTCGTGTGAGAAGTTACAGAACATGTTTAACGATAAAAGCTCTTTTTACTGTATTTTTAAACATGGGAACTGTAATTCTCATATGTTCTGAATGTGCTAATATAATTGAGATATCATGTCTTGACATAGCAAAAACTAACAGAGTACTCACGTCAGTTTTTTTTCCGTTCTCCAAATAACTTTTTGTCTTTTTGCAAATTGATAAACTGTATCGCTCGTTTATAGTTCATATTCCGGGAGAATGAAATTGTAGAAAAAGTTCTTTTGCTAATTCA